ATCGTGACTCGAAATTTTCACAGAATATGAACTTAACACTGAGGGAAAATAACACGGCGGTTTTTAAAAATGTGGCGCTGAGCAGTTTCCATCTACAAATAAAGTATCACAATAAGTCTATAAGGTCACAAACTGAGATACACGTTTTTGCAGATACATCGTCAATGCGGGTCTTAAAGTATGAACTAGAGCTAAAAAACCAAAATGATGATCTGCTGAATTCGGCACTACAGTGGCAAATCCACAGGAAAAATAGTCCAGGATCCCGAAATCCGTGAAAAGTTATGAATGCCATCTTAGAAATACACACACCGTGCAAATAAATTACTGCTCAGCTTTTCGCTCCGCCTTACTGAAGAAATTGAAAGGTTAAAGCGTTGAGCGGAGGCAGAGAGGAACATTAAATGCGAACCGCCAAAAATATTGATTTTACACCTCATAAAGTGTTATTCCCAACGCACCATAATCTTATCGAGGAAGCTTGACGCAGAGCAAACTTAAATGTCAAACAAGTGTACTACCTGCTCTCTTTAGAAATGAGTGCAAGCCAACAAGTTATTGAAACCAGGCAAGAGGAGCCCAAGTTTTCCCTTTAGTATTGGTCTCAATAAATTGGGTCGACACAATACGTTATTTTAGAATCTAGTTTGTTGAAAATACATTACTTACGTGAGAGGCTACGAATGAGGCATTTGGCGAAAGAGAACTGATAAAATGAGGTGAACAAAAGGACGCACACTAAGGTGATGGCCGCCATATTTTGTGCACATGCGATATATCGCATCGATTAGTTTCATGCTTTCAGCTACTTGAAATTTTTATGGAATTTTGAGATCATATTATCTCATTTCTATGGTCACGAGACTCTTAGGATTTACTTACCAAATTTGACAACAAATGCAACGTAGTAAAAGCAGAGCTTTTCCAAAGGAAACATATTTCATTCGAGTGCAGTTTCAATATCAGTATCGAATGCAACATTTTTCCTCTAAAAGTTACCTACTCTTTTACGTTGAATTTGTTGGTAAAATTTTGAATAAAGTCCTTCGTCTCGTGACAGCAGAAATGTGATCTCAAAATTCGATAAAAATGACAAGTGGCTGAGAACATGGTAAACTGAACGAGATTTATCGTTAGTCATTCTGCCACAAAATATGGTGGCCATTGGATCACCTCAAGTTTTGCAAGCCGCTCTCTGGAGCATTAGACTTTGTTTTCCTTCTGGGGCTGCTCTTATAAAATACATTGAAATTTGAATTGTTTATCCTTCCCCTCCCCTTTGTAACGTACTAATAATACAGTTCTGTACCCCTAATAAAACGAAACAAAAGTACGTAGCGGTTTTTTCAACCCTCTCCTCAAACTAGCGTTCTGTAATGAATGTTGGATGAATAATTTCGATGTTGATTTTTCATCTTACGTTTTCGAAAAATCTGCGCAACGCAACGTGCCCATTCTAGAGTTAGCCTTGAACACCTCCTCCTCCATACCAGCATCCGTAACGCGGGCTCGGACTAAACCTCCTTCCCTTGAGCGTTACGCATTTCATGAACTTTGACTTTTCGCATCTGAGAGACAAATGACTGTCTGCCTGCTTCCAAAATAAAAAGTGCGTATCGCGGAGACGTTCATAGGGAACTATTTAAATCAATTCGCGCTTTTTTCATTATCACTCTATGAATTACGTTTCACTCTTACGTAATCATACCGACTGACTCTTCAGTTTCTTTGTGATTTACCTAATTTAGCTTTCTTCCAAATGTACAAAAAATAACCAACTGGCAAAAAAACTCTAAAAAAATTATAATTTTACATCAACTTTACCCTCCTCGAAGCACCTACCTTAGGGTGGGACTTATTTTTTTAAATCGACAAAACCAAATGTTGCACGGTCTTAAATGGTTCTATGTGATAAAAAAACACGGTAGCCAAGAGGATTTTGAGAAAAAAAAATTTTAACCCGGCGCGCACAGAGCCTAAACATCGAGATTTTTCCGGTTTTTTTGGCATTTTCGCCGTATATTTTTGAGATTTTTGCCAGCAACACGGATTTGACGCTAGATGTCCAAAAATTGGTACAAACCTAGCACATACCTTGCAGATTAAGGGAAAATTTTTGTTTTTCTCCTAGGTCACTCTCAGTTCGCTTGGTAATGCCGAAACCCTCCGCTCGGCAGCTCTAAAAATCGAAATTTCGCCGTTTTTTAACGTATAATGAACTTTTTGAGCAACCTATAATGGTAGTAAAAATCCGAAAATTTGTGGAAAGCAAGTCCATACCATCAATATGGAAGGACAAATGTCAGAAAACTCCTACGTCTTTTATTTTCTGCCAAGCTATGCCCATAATGGTGGAAAACTTGTCAAAAATAGCTCAATTTTGACCGTTTTTTCGCGTTCGAAAATTTATTGGACACCCTGTAATGACAATGAGGGTCCGAAAATTTGTGGAAAGTAAGTTCATACCATCTGTATGAAATAAAAAATTTTACTTGGTTCATACGTCTTATATCCTTCGTCCTGCGATACCCGAAATGGCAGCGAAAACGTCAAAAATACCTCAAATTGGCCGTTTTTTGATAATTTTTTGGAACACCTTGTAGTGGCAGTGGAGGCCCGAGAATTTGTGCAAAGTAAGTTCATACCCTCCGCAAGGGATAAAAAAATCTACTTGGTTCCTATGTCTTACATTCCTCGTTGTGCGGTGCCCGCAATCACTTCGAAAACGTCAAAAATACCTCAATTCGGCCGTTTCTTCAATGGCGAAATTTATTAGACACCCTGTAATGACACTGGAAATTCGAAAATTGGGGGAAAGCAAGTCCATACCACCAGTATACAAGGGCAAATTTCAAAAGGTCCATAGATGTTTGATTCTTGGTCGCACGGTGTCTTGAGATACACAAAAATCGTGAAAAATACCTCCATTTTGACCGGTCTTTCGCTATTAAAATTTAATAAACACCCTGTAACGGCAACAGAGGTCGAAAACTTTGCTGAAAGTAAGATCATTCCATCTTCATGCAATAAAAACTTCTACTTTGTCCCTATGTCATGCATTCTTCGTTGTGCGCGGTGCCCGCAATCGCATCGGAAACGTCAAATATATCTGAATTCGGTCAATTTTTTTTACCGAATTATTTTTGCAGACACCCTGTACTGACAGCGGAGGTCCAAAACTATGTAAGAAGCTAGTGTTGAAAGAAAGGAATGGATAAATTTAGGTATATTCGAAAATTTCGCCTCACTTCAGGGCGTCTAGCGACAACAATTATAAATTTAAGGGTCTTTGAAAAATTGCCGTTCCTTTCAGATGTATATACAACGTATATTTTACTTGGCACTTTTAAGAGTCGCTGATGTCATAACAGGGTGCCGAAAAAATTTCACACACGAAAAATTGACCGAATTCAGATATATTTGACGTTTCCGATGCGATTGCGGGCACCGCGCACAACGAAGAATGCATGACATAGGGACGAAGTAGAAGTTTTTATCGCATGAAGATGGAATGATCTTACTTTCAGCAAAGTTTTCGACCTCTGTTGCCGTTACAGGGTGTTTATTAAATTTTAATAGCGAAAGACCGGTCAAAATGGAGGTATTTTTCACGATTTTTGTGTATCTCAAGACACCGTGCGACCAAGAATCAAACATCTATGGACCTTTTGAAATTTGCCCTTGTATACTGGTGGTATGGACTTGCTTTCCCCCAATTTTCGAATTTCCAGTGTCATTACAGGGTGTCTAATAAATTTCGCCATTGAAGAAACGGCCGAATTGAGGTATTTTTGACGTTTTCGAAGTGATTGCGGGCACCGCACAACGAGGAATGTAAGACATAGGAACCAAGTAGATTTTTTTATCCCTTGCGGAGGGTATGAACTTACTTTGCACAAATTCTCGGGCCTCCACTGCCACTACAAGGTGTTCCAAAAAATTATCAAAAAACGGCCAATTTGAGGTATTTTTGACGTTTTCGCTGCCATTTCGGGTATCGCAGGACGAAGGATATAAGACGTATGAACCAAGTAAAATTTTTTATTTCATACAGATGGTATGAACTTACTTTCCACAAATTTTCGGACCCTCATTGTCATTACAGGGTGTCCAATAAATTTTCGAACGCGAAAAAACGGTCAAAATTGAGCTATTTTTGACAAGTTTTCCACCATTATGGGCATAGCTTGGCAGAAAATAAAAGACGTAGGAGTTTTCTGACATTTGTCCTTCCATATTGATGGTATGGACTTGCTTTCCACAAATTTTCGGATTTTTACTACCATTATAGGTTGCTCAAAAAGTTCATTATACGTTAAAAAACGGCGAAATTTCGATTTTTAGAGCTGCCGAGCGGAGGGTTTCGGCATTACCAAGCGAACTGAGAGTGACCTAGGAGAAAAACAAAAATTTTCCCTTAATCTGCAAGGTATGTGCTAGGTTTGTACCAATTTTTGGACATCTAGCGTCAAATCCGTGTTGCTGGCAAAAATCTCAAAAATATACGGCGAAAATGCCAAAAAAACCGGAAAAATCTCGATGTTTAGGCTCTGTGCGCGCCGGGTTAAAATTTTTTTTTCTCAAAATCCTCTTGGCTACCGTGTTTTTTTATCACATAGAACCATTTAAGACCGTGCAACATTTGGTTTTGTCGATTTAAAAAAATAAGTCCCACCCTAACCTACCTTTCCAGAAAAATAACCAATAAATCATTTAAATTAAAGTTTTGACACAGACATGTATCTTTATGAAAATAAATTTGAAATTTTGCCAACCACGTTCAACGAGCACACCTCTTCTTTCTCAAGAGAGATGGCTTCCATTCGCAAACAGCTGCCTATGGAACTGTAAATCTATCCGAAGGATCAAATGAACATTTGTTTGCCTAGCAATTTAATTTAATTCTCCCTTCAAACTGTTTTTTTTTTTTTATTTTTTGTCAAATCTTATTTCTGATAGCATTGAAAGTGCGCCAAAGCAGAGGACACTTGGGTACTTACGTTAATTAGCGTTTGTAACGAGTCAACGTAGGACTTTTCAGTCTCTAGAAGTTCCTCCACAACATGAGTTCGTGTATCCTGAAACAAAAAAGAAGAAAAATTTTGATGAAAATTTCAGGAAAATCAAAAGGAGGTTAAATGTAAAAATTGATAAATCCTGCTCCAAACATCATTTAAGGCCTAGTTTTGGTTTTTATAAAGCACAGGAAATAGGTTTCTCGAAGAAAGCCTCATGAACCACTGAAGGCTAAAAAAAGGCAAATAAAAATGAATTTTCAAGACCTTGATCAGGCGGGGCTAACGAAATATTAACGGATTTTTCTTGCCCTATTCTTTAAAATCGTTCAACATTTTTCAATGTTTCTTGTACCTATCTTTTGGTTTGTTTCACAACAACACTCTTGGCTGAAAAACAGACGCGAATTGTTTTTAATGTTTTCCTCATCTTTTGTTGGTCATTGATAAGTTACAAGAACACAAAATTAAACGGTTTAGATAGGCAAACTGACATAGCGTTAAAGTGAACTCTTCCCGCTTAGGAAGAGGGTTTTATTTGGAACGAACGTGTCGAGTGAACGAGCGTGCCCTTTCAAAATGAGACCACTATTCGACCGCGTAGGAGCTCGTGGTGCCTACACTAAAAATTGAAGGCAAACTGATGATGCGTTAATGTAATCTTTCCCTGTTGGATAAGAATCCATCTTGTGGGTGTGTTCCGAGCAGGCGTTTGTTTTTACGATGATCCACTATTCCTAATAATTTCATTAATTACATTTAGTTTCTTAATAATTGTTCATTAAAATTTCAGACGAATGCAAAGTAAAAATTATACATGTTTTCCAAAAAATTGTATTTTATCATGGAGGATTTGGCAACTCCCAAATGTTCATACGTCGTTTTTCATTGGCACTATCCTCTACCTCACTTCACTAATAACAACCGTTGATTTTCTGTTGTACGCGTTGTCATAAATGCATACCGATTGTTGGTGGAGATGAGTTACGTGATTTTATTTTTCAGCCGTGTGTGAACACGAGTCTCTGCTTTCACGTTTGGAGGAGACCGCCACCAATTTGCCATTAAAAGTGTTAAAAGTTCCTACACGTGCTGAAGAGAGCTCTGTTATATCATGTAGAAACAACGTAACTCCCAGGTAAGCCCCTCATTGATACGCGGTTCTCACGGAATCGGTAAGGCATCGCTTTCAAACATGAGGAGTGCGCACTACTACTTTCATTTATAACCCCAACACTTAAGGCGCGGTGATAATTCTACCATTATAAATGGACGTATTTCTGCCAAAAAGAACTAAGTGCATTAAGACATGAGCCCTGAGACCCATAAGAATATATGCATAACAGGGCTCACGTCATAATGCACAAAGTTCCGTCTGGCAGAAATACGTCCAAATCAGACTATAAAACCACAATTATTCAATACAGTCTAGTGTAATTTTGGCTATTCTCGCAAATTGGCAACACTGGGTTTCCTCCATCGAGACCCATTACTTTATATCGATCCTCGGTTAAGCAGACTGGCCTCACCTAGAATCGATTGTTTTACCTCGTACATATTAAGCGGATGAAAAACAATGCAGTCGACTTTGAAAATATCCCTCGGCTATCAAGGTGCGAGCCTCAACGTTGATTAGTTGTTTTAGGGATTCAAAATACAGAACTCATTGGTTGGTATGATTTAACATCATGGTACTTACTGTAAGAAAAAAAAAAAGAAGAAAAGAAGAAAAAAAACATACTATGTGCCTTTGTTCCATGAACTTTTTGTTTGAAAATTGTTTCTAAATTCTTGTTCGCAGTCTTAGCAATATGCCGCTTACCAATTGTTTAATTTTCCTCTGCTCCTTTCTCAATTCGACAAGCAATGTAAAAGTTCTATGTTTTGAACACTTTTCCCCTCTTTTTTTACATTATTATAAAAATGTGCCAAAATTAAAACAACATATTGTAGTTAACGGTTTTTGTAGTTTTATCACCCATCTCGATCAATGCAAAATTACCAAAAGACGCACTTGGATTCGAGACAACTTACTATCTGGCTTCCTGTCACACTACTTTTTTTAGGGTTGGAAGATCATCATCATTGCACAAAATTACTCGTGATTTCTCTGCCCCCTTGAGAATTCTGAAAATTTTATGCAAAAATTTGGCGATTCTTGTGCAATAAAAATGATACAGGAGCAACGATTATGAAATTCCGTGCTCGAGATACGTGACCCCACGGCTTTACCGATCGAAACACAATAGAGATGTTGCATAAATTAATAACCCGTTGATTCGAATCATGTTTTCATTTCACAAGTGCGTCGCTGAGAAACACCCAAAGCACGGCTGAATTGGCCGTATTTAAATGCAAAAAAAATAAACTATCTTTGGTGGAACATGAGCCCTCAGACCCACGAAAATACACGGATGACATGGCCCATGTCAGAATGGAGGTAGTTCTTTTTTATTCAAATACGTTCAATTTAGGTTCTAGAGTAAGAGTACGCTCCACGCGATGGGCCGATATGCCATCTCATATCCCTCGGCACGGAAAGTTGATGGCAAAAAGTTAAAAGTTCATATCCCACGATTCCGTCACTGAGATCCAGCCTATTCGCAACCGCCGAACTTCAAACGAAACAGCAAGCCCAGACCGACGACTGTTTTTCTCGGAAGTAAGAAAAATTTCACAAAAAACATATATTCAAAAAAGGTGAATACCCTCCTGGGTGGTGAAAATTCGTGCATTAGGGCAAGGATGACGGAGTATCCAACTGCGATGAAATTGTTTTAGTCGAAAACGACCCGACTCTGAGAGTAAAAAATTGCAAAAAAAAAATAAAAAATAAAAAATAAATAAATGAAATTTAAAAAAAAACACGAAAAGGTGGCACCGATAGTTTTCAATGATATAAAAAAAATTCTGGTGTCTTCTGTCAAAATTTATCAGAGAGACCAATAGACAGTGGTACCAAAGTTTGCGTTCGTCGTGAAAGTAGGTATCACATAGAGACTGAATTTTCAAACGATGGATCGATTTTGATATTAACGGTCGATATTAACCTTATCGATTGTCTTTTCTTCGCCCTTTACTCCTCCTCCTTCTTATATAAAATTAAAGAAAATTTAATTTAAAAAAATTATAAGTAAAATAGTTTTACCTTAGAAACCGTGTCTCTGGAATGAGACACATTTTTGAAATTTTCGAACTGAACGGTTCGATCGCAAAGAAGTCAGGATAACTGGGACTGAAGGTGAGAATTTCAACAAAATGAAGACATACATCAAACCTTAGTGGCATCAATGTTGCACCATTCATTGCAAAGAACACTCAAAAAGTTTAAAACATTAACTTTATGAGACGATGTCTTGGTTTCATAACGAAAAATATAAATCGGAAAAGGAATAAACGCAGTCGAAATTTTTGACGATTCCACAGTGATAACAACAGTCAACTTCAGCATCCATGAGAAGGAATTTCAGGTCTTATTGTTATATCTTCATAATCTTACATTGAGCTTAAAAATTATTTCAAATTGAATGGTTTATGAGAAAAAACTATTTGAGGACATCGATTTGGAGTGAGATTTTGCATTGCCCTCTACCTTACTTATCAAAGAAATATTCCCGAAAAATTTCGATATAAAGACAAGGTCAGATGATATCAAATGTCAGTATAAAATAGAGTATTCATTTAATGGTTATTTTAAAAGGGGGGAGAGGAGAATATTTAAAGCACAATCGGAAATTTTGAAACACTTTAACTCAGCTTGCAGCCTCATAAAACCATACTTTAACAAGCGGAACTCGTATACGGCGTGATCATAATGCGAAGTCGTTGAACCTGACCAAGCGTCGCGCGGTGCTCCGCCTGAAGCATATCCAATTAATTGAAGGCGCACCATGTGCGGCACTTCTACTCTCTCCTCTCTCATCACCTCGACAATATCAAAATTTGGTTCTGCTAACCAAAACTTTTAGAAGGGTGTATTGTGCATATTGTTTCATTGTATTACGTGCTCTACAAACTCTAAAACTGCGGTGACATTTGCTATCTAAAGGTAAGTTCACTTCAGAGAAGCAAGGGAAAAAATCGGAATTTCGATATATCGAAATTTTAGAGTTCTAAGGCTCTTATAAATCACATAAATGTCAAGATCGATTCGATTGAAACACCATCCGGCTTAAGTAGCCAAATTTCCGGCCCGGCTCTCATCTGGGCAGCGTGGCCGAGTGGTCTAAGGCGCTGGTTTTAGGCACCAGTCCGCAAGGGCGTGGGTTCGAATCCCACCGCTGTCACTAAATTTTTTTTCCAGATTTTCAATTTCTAATTATTTCTTACGCTTTTAATAGTACAAATATTTGTTTTTACTGCCAAAATTTATTTTTACCACTATTCTTTAAATTTTTAAACGCAAAACTTGTAACTAGTCCAGTCAATCTAGCCAAAAAAAGGGTCTAACCTCGGACAAATTAGCACAAACTTCTCTTGTGTTTTAAAGCGCTCCAAAACATGTCTAGAGCCCCCCAAAAAAAGTTTACCATTAGCCCCCCTCGGGAACACAGTCAAAATTGCGTATGACAAAATGGCGGCCGTCTGAAATAACGGATAAATTGATTGTTGACTTCGGCACCGTTTTCCCGATTTTGCGTGATTCTAGTGCATCCAGTGAAAAAAATCATTCCTGTCGTTTTTTTAGAGTATAAAATTCTGCTCACGAATACATATTAGTTTTTTTAATTTTGACTTGTTGGTGCCGAGCTACGAGGTCAGACACCGAAAAAAAAGACTAGAATTTTCTTGAAATTTCAAGTTTGGTTTGTAACTTTTAAGATACAGCAATGGAAGAATTTTTTCTCTCAAAACTGTTGGTACCATTGGAAAGAGCATGAAATGTTCTTTTGAAAACACATATTACATCAAAATTTAACTGAAGGTTAAAGACCTTTATAGGGCCTTTATGGAATGGTGTCAAATTTGACATTTTTTACTTTTTGTAAATTTTGGCTGGAATTTCGATCAGTGTGAACCTTTTTCCCGAATATTCGACTATTTTTGAAATAAATTTTGTTATT